TTGTTGTGTCCATCCAAGGTTTTGAAAACTTTCATAACATTATTTTGCAGAAAATATTTAAAACTAAGTTCACTAATTCCCCCTGCTTCAGTGAGATGGTGCTAGGGCTATCACGAGGAATGATTTGTTCATGCATGTTCTAGGCTTACAAGACTGTCAAACAGTAACTCGTCAGAACACAGCTTTTACCCACTCATGCTTTTCCTATGTGAAGCAGAGTATGGATTGCCTTCTAGAGCAGCTCTTGCAATTTGTCAGACTTTAGGGGAATTTTCCCTCGTCTGGCACACTTCAGGCAGCTACAGCTCTGCATCAGAGGAGACAAGCAACTAGCAAACATTGCTTTGCAGCCACTTTAATGCTTGTGAGCTAGGTGGAAACTGATCTCTCCAGAAATGACTGCAAGGACATGTGCTCCTCTTGGCATACAATTCTGACCTGTATTCAGCTGCTCACTCTGTGCTAGCACTTGAGCTCCTTACCCTATCCTTTGCTCCCTTGCCTCTGTAAAGGTTACTGGTTTCTTTTGGTACAAACACAAGTGAAAGGGGAGGAAGAATGTCTGACAAAGCTGCTGCTGTCTGTGCTGTTGGGCCAGATGAGCCACCCCTATAAACTCAGGAGGAACGCATCGCTGGGGTAAGTTCTGTTTCTTGCTGGCTACACCATGTTTTTACAAGACTTCTATTTCCCTTCCCCTGTTTTTAGGGCTCTTTAATTAAATGGCAGTGTAGCAGAGGAAAATAGTCCTAAGTTATTTTGCTCCTTAAAAAATAAAAACTGTAGGCAGATAGAGCCTGTTTTAAGTTTGTACAAATTATGGAATGATACAGGAAAGACAGAAGTAACTCTTAGGTCCAAAACTTACTTTTGATTCAGAAGCTTCTTTTTTTAGCAACTGCAATGCTGAGCCCTAGCATGACGTGGTTCCCTTAATAAGGCTGCATGAAACAAGGAACAGCTTCTTTCCCTGGGCAAAACCAGCAACTCGGAAGCAGAAAAGATCTGTTTTTTGAACTTTAACACTGAAAACAAGTCCAACTTTGTCATCTGATATCCCACCTAGATAAGTGGGATAACTTTTGTACTTGGGTACATGTGATACATGTGGGTAAAGCTGACTGTTCAACTGCTGTGTAGTTAATGTTTATTCTTCAGTGTGTGACGTTTCAATTGGCAGGCTAGAACTTGGCCACTGAGAGCCTCTTGTTGTGATTAAACCAGCATGAGAGTGGATCCAATTCGTACTGAAAAGAACAGGCTAGAAATCTTGCAAGTCTTAGAAGAAATAGCACTGCACATACCAGGTTCACATATCAAGCAGTTTAGGAAGTGTGCATACTACCTTGTGGCAGGGTTTATTCCTCATGTGTAGAACCTCCCAGTCTTTCTAGGTCCTTCCTGTTGTGCTTGGTTTGTCACTTGGTTCCAAGTTGACTGGTTTCTTGCTTTACAGAGTACTCCAGGACTGCTTCCATCGCATTTATTCCCAGAAGGTAAAACTGGGGCATCCTGAATTTGTGATAAAATGTTACAGAACATAAGGCTGGAAAATGCTAAACACCACCAGAGTGCTCTGTGTCAGTAGTGGGTAATTAGGCTGTGGTTTGCCAAGTGAATTAACACTTCCTATAGCAACCTGCAGGTGCACCAGTCCAGCTTAATGGATCTGGGGTCTTTTTATTCTGCTGCATCTCTTCCTTCAGCAAGCATTCAGCCTTCAACGAGTCTATTGCTAGCGTAGGTATCTTGGTAGTCAATACTGTGTGTTTTCTCTGGGCATCTTTCCAAAGATCCTGACAGATCCTGACTCATGTTTTTATTAACAAAACGCTGCAGAAGTTGCTAGCAGAGGTATGTGCTTCAGTAGAGGACTTTCAGTCTGGAGCCTTTGAGATCATTCAGGAAGGTAGCAAACCCCATCTGTTTTCTTCCAAGCTACAAGAGACAATGTTGTCAGCTGTTAAGATGAAGACAGTATGAGTTTGAAATACAGACAGTGAAGTCCTGCATTGCTTTTATGTGTTAGAATTTAGGAATCCTGAGTCAAATTCTGAGTTTTAGTCATGCATTTTCCTGTGTGGTTTCATGACTCAAGGAGACGATTTTTTTTTTTGTCTGCTGTAGTTTTAATCAAGACTTTAAGATCTCTGTCTAAAAATATGTATTCCTCCTTTTCCCCCTAGTGGGTATGAAAGGGAGGAATTACAAAGTCATCTGGTATGTTGTTTTCCACAGCGATGAGGTCTCAAATGTTATGTAGAGCACGAACTCCCAAAGTGCTGGTTATCCAGCTGGGAAGCAAGGAGTGTGTTTGGTAAATAAATGGTGGGTGTAGTAAGTTTTGGAACTGCTTTACTTTTAGAAGATACTCTTTTTTCCAGCCATAGGGTGGGGAAGTGGTCTCATCTAGGGTGGACAGCCACCAGGGTTTGTCAGCTAGAGTAGTTTCTTTTGGTAAACTATCATGCTGTGAGGGATGCATGACCATGATTTGGAATGACAACCTGTCAATGCTGTTGCTGTATGTGGATTTTGTCATGCCCACTCAGATGGTAATGGATTGAGGACATCTGTGGTCTGTCAGGCTCTGGAGCACCTCAGTTTTGGTAATCCCAGTGAAGAATTTTGAGGCTCAACAGGAGCTCTTTTTGTGTGTGTGCTCTGCTGAAGTGGGAATGGTGCTAGTTGTTTTGGAATACCATCATCTTAACAGTCCCAGTAGCTCCTGCTGCTGGGGAAAGCTGGGGAAATGTTAACTCTTCAGTATGATTACTTCTCCTTGAAGCTCGTTATGTGCAGGATCTGTTATGCATAAAGGAACTGCTTGGTCTTGTCAGGGAACCTGAGGAGAAATCAATTTTCTTATTTTACCATAAGACCCCAAGTGAAAGGGATTAGTAACATGTGGGAAGGTTTGTATTAGTTGATGAGTTGTAACAATTCAGATAACATAGACGATTATTCAGTGAAATTAAGAGATCCTGTGATTCAAGGGCATGTAATAGAGTTACCTGCCCCATACTGACCACTCATGGTCTCTGAATGCTGCTGGGTGCATCAGGCTGTGGCAATTAAACCCACAGGGGCAAGGGAGATAAGCTGGAACTGAAGTGTGGTCACTGCTTCCTAGGATCCAGAAAGCTCTGTCTGCAAACACTGCCTGTGTTGGAAGCAACTTTTTTGATTCTTTTTCTCTTCAGTAGTTCTCTTTAATTCCAATGGAAGGAGGCCATGAGGTGCCCAGGCTGCAGTAACACCCGACCACATACTTCACAATTCTAGCTTTCTATGTCAGCAGAAACAAGCACCAACCACTAGCAAGGGAAATGGGCTGAGAGGGTTGTTCCCATGCAAATTCATGAAGTGAGAGCAGTATGGGAGAGAGCTGATATCCTGCTGTGAGAGTAGCTGCTCTTTTATGCTTTAACTAGCCATTTCCTAGGAGATATGCAAGTCTGGTCAAGTCTTTATCTTCATGTAAGAGGATTTAAAACTCACCTGCTGCAGTCTCCAGTATTTCAAGGTTACGTATCTTCCTTCAGTGCTCTTCTCCTTCAGGCTTCCTGCTGACAAGTGGGGTTAGCAGCCTCTTGGAGGTCAAGCTGAGATGGCTTGCGATCTGCATGTGGTTAAATATGAATAATCCCTTCCCTGCTCAGCAAAGTAAGCACTGCTGTGAATCCCATTGAGACTGATGAGAATTAAGCAGCTGGTGTAGTGTTTTCTTGGACAGGATGAGATTGTGCACAGGCCTCATTGACTTGATTTGGGAATCTCTAAGAGCCTGTGTTTGCTGTGAAGGTCATCACGGCCTCCAGGCAGCATTGGGTATGTGTGTCTGTGAGCACACAGGAATGTTATTATGATTTGATGGAAAAGGTAGTGAGGAGTTGCAGAGATCGATCAGAAATCCAAATGCATTTGTTTGCCTTTTTTGAAAGGATTCGTCTTATGTTTTGCCATTCCAATGCTGCTAACTTGAACACCTGACACCGTTCTGCAACTGGGACTATGAATGCTTGTTCCTTCTGGGTACCCTTCATGCACTATTCCCTCCTCCCCCCTATTTCTCTGTGCTGAGATAGACTTGACAAGAGACCACTTGAATATACTTGTCTCTGTTTTCACTCTTCTGAAGCCAGCTGCAGCTCTGGTCTCACCTACAGATGAGTTCTGCAATGCAAGTGTGTGTTAGTTTGCTTTTAATCCTGGAAGGATACACGTGCTTTGGCTTCCCAAATGGCCTTTCTGCAGGCAGGCATTGAAGCCACGGCGTTATCACTGCAGTTGGCTTCCAGATGAGGCTGGCACCTGGAATCCAGCTGCCTGATTGCTGAATCTTGGTGAGCAAAACCCCTGTCACCGGGCACACAGACAGCAAGTCTCAACAGGAGCACGCACTGCACACGGCCGGGGGAGGCTTTCTGACACAAGATGTTCCCTCTTTGGAACAGGGCGGCTGCTCCGGGTGCAGGGGATAGCAAAGCTCTGGAGTCCAGCGCCAGCATTTCCCGCTTTCTGGGAAATGCCACATGGAAAACTGAAGTGTCGGTTTCACTCCGCAGCATTCCCGCACGTAGCTTTCAGGCATGAACTAGTGCAGTGCTGTCTTCCTACATCTGCAAAGGCCAAACCAGTGCCGTGATTTGCACTCACAGGCACGGTATTCACCTGAGAATGTGTTGGTTTCTCTCCGGGTTGCAGTGCGAGGCGTTCACAAGTGACTGCTGCTCTGGGCGCTTCCTCCTCCTCCTCCCTGACCAAAACAGAACGATCCCAGGGCAGGGCAGCACCGAGCTCCCCCTTCACAGCGTTCATCAAACCCCCACCAGCGCCCGTGCCGCTGCGCGCACCCCAGGGCGGGCAGGTTCAGGCCGCCTGAACACCGCGGGTCCCGCGGCTCGGGGGGCGGAGGGGACCGGCGGCTTCCCGGGCTCGCTTCCGCGGAGCCCCGCCGGGCGCGGCCCCGCCCCCCGAGGATGTGACGCCGCCGGGGCCGCCCCTCGCGGGCGCGGCCCTGAAATAGGGCCCCGGCCGCCGCCGCCGCCGCGGGCAGCGCAGGAGCCGTGGCCATGCCCGCTGCTGCTGCCCCTGCGGCCGCCCCCGGCGGCAAGGCCAAGCTCACGCACCCCGGCAAGGCCATCCTGGCAGGTGAGTGAGCGCCCCGGCACCGGCCGCCAGCGCGGGCATCCCGCAGGTGCTGGTCCCGCCGTGCGAGCCCGGCAGCCCCCGGGCCAGCCCATGCCCCGTCCCGCTGCATCCCAGCCGGGCGCGTCCCGTGGCAGCTCCCGCGGCTGCATCCCCGGCTTGGGCGGCGGTGGCTGCGGGGCTGTGCCTGCAACCTGTGGCCTGGCGGGGAGGGGCCGGTGTGCTCGCAGCCGCCGTGCGTGGCGGGGCAGAGGGACACGTTAACAGGAGAGTTGGGCTGATGGAGGAGGAGGCGGCAGGGAGCTCCCTGTGCACCCCCCGGGGGTGTGAAGGCAGAAAGCTGGAGCGGCAGCGCTCAGATTGTGCCTGCTCCAGCCGTGTCTCGCACGCTGCTGTGATGCAGCTCCTTTTACGGCTTCTTGGTCCCTCCTTTGTGTGTCAGCATCAGTTCCCGTGGATCAGGGCGTGTTTTACCATCCTGTTCTGACCGTTTTCATGGGGTCTAAACAGGCTCTGAGTACAGCAGTAACTGCAGAGTTAATGTGCTCCCTTCTGCTTGTGGCTGGTTTGAGCTCGGAGCTGAACGGAGTCCAAGACAGTGGAAGGCTTGTTAAACTCCTTTGTAGCCCTTCATTAGCTCCCTGGTTTCTTCTGCCACTCCAAGGACAATTCCCAGAGTGCACATCAGTGTCTTCTCTTTCAAACGAGCCCTCGCAGCCTCCACACCATTGGCATGTTTAGAGCTTTTGTGTTTTCCAGCCAATTCTCCCTCCTACGACTGTGCCTTTGTTCGTCTGGCCAACTCTGCTCTGCTCCAAGGGCAGAGCTAAAGCCTCCTGTAGCGGGACGTGGGGGGAGCAAGGCTCTGCCCGTCCCACTGGGTAGGGGAGCAGAGCCCTTTGCCACGCCAGCCCTGCCTCGGTGGTTGGCTTCTCCGTATGCAGATCCAGGTTACTGCTGGAGACAGCATCGCTGTGGGAAATGGATGCGAGCTCCGGAGCACGCAAAGGGTCATGAGGCTTCCTGGGGTCACATCAGTGGCATAGAAGGGTCTGTGCTGTCACCAGGGCTGCCCGGCCAGAAGGGCATGAGAAGGCTGCAGCCATGGCCGAACATTCACATGAACCCATTGATGAGGCCTGGCCTCTTCAGAGCTCTGTGCTCCTCAGGGGTCTCAAACCTGTGCTGCCACCCCATCAAAGTGCCTTGTTAGTTCAGGCATCTTCTTATCCCCTTGTACTCAGAGGTCTTTTAAATGGGATTTAGTCTAAGCTTAGGATGGGATAGAGACAGGATGTTTTCTCCTCATCCAGCCCTCTCAGTCTTTCCCACTTCATTGCCCATGTGTGGTGCATCAGGTTGTCGCTGCCTGGGCCAGTGTACCAGGACACTTCTGTAGCCCTTGCACAGGTCTGTAATCAGGGATCACCAGTGCATGGTTTGTGGGCACACTCGGGAAGAGGCTGCAGCAGGCCTGCCCTGCTCTCCCCTGCCAGAAAAGCTGCCATAAGCGAGCCTGGAAGCTCTTCTGGTGCAAAGGAACGGACATGGTGCTTGTGGCCTCTGCTGGGTGTCAGTCTGAGCAACAACGCAAAGCTGCACATGCTCCTACATGGAGGAGTCCTTCTAGGTCCATGTGAGGCTGCAGAGGTGGAAGAAGGACCCTATTGAGATGCTAGTCTTCTCCTCACACAAAGCAAATCAGAGTAATTGGTTAATGGGCAGAAGTCCAGCCAAGCCTCTGTGGCATCTAATTGTATTAGAGAACCACATAAATGGGAGAAAGCTGCTGTTAACTCCCTGCATTCCGGCCTGCTCAGCCCTCCAGCCCCTTCTGGGGGGATGCAGTGCAGTTTGTGGTTGTCTCTGATGACTTTAAGGAGTTTTAGAGACTGATAACTTTAATCACCTCCGATGCTCTTGAGGCTTTTCATCTACCCCCTGTCTGCACAACAGGGCTGTGTGCTCCAAAGCTCATCTTCCTCATAGAACTGGAGGTGCTCAGAGACAAGCCGTTCCTGATGTGCTGTGCTGTGCTGTGCTGCTGGGGTTAAATGAGCTGCCATCACCCACCCTGGGTGCGTGTCTGCTCCCAGACCCCATGTGCGATGGAGATCCCTGCCGGGGGGCACAGCTCCCTCCTGCTGCCCGGACCTGCGCTGGCTCTTGTCTGCAGAGACACAAGCGGAGCTCTGGCTGCCAAGCGCTCTTCTCCTCCTGTTGTTGCGACGGTGAAGGCAAAGTTAAACATTAATTTGCTAATGGTCTCTCGTTTGTCCAAGCAGCCGCTGTGTGTGTGCCAGGGCAGCTCCTCACCTCACTGCAGCCACAGCACACGGGGACATCTTGGCTGTCCCGGCCATTGGGGTGCGTGTCACTCCCGGGGGTCTTCAGGGTTACAGAGGGCAGAGCTGGGTGGGTGCGGGTTCTGCTGCTGTTCAACCTCTACACCCCCTTTGCAAGGGGGGGACCCCCACGCTCTGAATTGATGGTACAAAGCTAATTTGAGGGGCATGGCTCTGGGTCAGAAGTGATGTGGCTGTAGGACACTAAGGGTTGGTATAATGTGGCTTAGTTAAACTGGGTTAAAAGACTGGCAAACGTGCAGGGCTTATACTGAAACAGGTCTTATGTGTGTCTACCTCGCAGGCTGGCCCAGTTGCCTGTTGTAAAGCTGGTGTAATTATGAACTCAAGAGCTGGTTTGAGGTCCCGCTCCTGTCTCCTCTGCTGGGCAAGAGCCTGATTGCAGGCTGAGCTGGGCACCCAGCCGTGTCTCAGCCTCCCTTCAGCAGCTCCCGGATGCTGTGCTGTGGTTTCCAAACCATCCCGCTGGGCTCCTGTCCCTCCCACCAGCTTCCCACAGGATTTGGTGCTGCTCCTGCACTGCCCAGTTCTTGGCACAGGCCACGCTGCAGCAGGCTCGAAGTGAAGCAGCGAGTGGTGAAACAGGAGCTGGTGGGGGGGTTCACCCCTGTGTGTCCCAGGGGCTCCTCGCTGGGTTTTGGGCACCACGGGGCTGTTAGGTCAGCTCCAGCCAGCCTGCGGTGGCCGTTTAGAGCCCGGCACAAACGGTCCTTGTCCTTTCGCAGGCAAACCTCCCCAGCAGGGCTCACAGGGGCTGGTGGGTCAGCGCCTTTGCCTGCCCTGGCCAGGGTTGAGGACAGCCTTGCTCTGGTTTTAGCCGGCTTTGAAGCCTGGGGTCTGCTCCCTCCCACGGAGCAGCTCCCGGATGCCTTGCCTGGGGGCTGGTGCACAGTTGCTGTTCCTGCCTACACCTAATCCTGCCTGCTCAGGGGGCCTGGATGCTGCCCTGCGTGATGCTTGGCTTGGAAAGAGCTTGCTGCTGCTCTGGTGTTTGCTACAAACACTGAGTGCTGCTGGGAATCAGCAGTGATGTGCACCAGGGCCCCAGGAGGAGCACGGGCAGAGGGGAGAGGGACTGTGCAGGGAGAAAGAGAAGAGCCTGCAGGGTAGGGCATGAAGCACCCAAAGCAGGGAGCCCAGGATCACAGGAGATACAAAGCAGTAATTACAGCTTCAGTCTCCTTTGTTAATCTCCTGATACGACCTTTCTTAGGCAGCACTGTACCTACAGAGGAGAGAGTCAGGGCAGGATGTGAAAGCTGAGACTTGCTCCTTGCAGAGCAGGACATCATTCCCAAAAGGCCCAAGTCCCCCTCTGCTTCCAGGGCCATTGGCGTCCTGGGAGGGCGGCTGTGCTGCTGTGGTCTGGAACACTGCCTGGTGTTGAGACTGCAGCTCGCAGCAGAGCAGGGGATGTTTCCCCCTTGATGCTGAGCGGGGGAGTGGGGCGCTGGGCTGGATGTGGCAGTGGGGAGGATTGGTGAGCATGGAGGGAGCCCATCTTGCCTGGTCTGCTGGCCCGCCGTGCATCCCGCCTGGCCGTGGTCTGTCTGGTGTGTGCCTGGGGAGCGGGGCAGAAGGAACACGCAGGCCCTGAGTGCGTCCCTGCCTGCCTCTGAGCCCGCGTGGACTGCAGAAACCCAGAGCAGCCCCAAGGCTTCTGGTGGGAGGAGGCTGCCAGCCCCAGGACTGGGAAACCACACTGCGGTCCTTCAGCTCCTTCAGTCTGAATGGGTTCTGTGTGAGCTGGGATTAATCCTGGCCTTGAAATGTGCTGCTGAGATTTTCACATGCCTGGTGCTGTGCTTGACGTTCTGCAGGCAACCATTTTCCCTGGGTTGACGTAGATGATCGGAAGAGGCCATCCATCTTCTGGAGGCAATGAGCACCGTGAGCTGACAGCCCAGGGACATTGCAGCATCTCTCAGCTCTGACAGCCTTGTGCAGTGCATGCCAATGCAGCTTAGTGCTCCTGCCTGGGCAGTGGTGACCCTGTGCTTGTGCCATGAGGTCTCAGGTCACCTCCTGACAGCAGGGGTTGATCTTTATGTCATCTTTTCTCTCTCCCTGTGCTCCATTGCCTGCTGCTGCAGCCATTCCCCTGTGCTGTTGGCTGTGGGACCAGAGCCTGTCCCCGGGGAAGGCTTCATTCCCGCAGTGGCTCCTTTATCCAGCCACAGGGCTGCACTGAGGGATGTGTCCAGCAGCCCTGGGCTCTGACACTGGCTCCCTGTTGCCCGTCTTTAGGAGGAGTTTTGGACACTCAAGCAGTAGGTGTCTGAAGTGCTGCGGTGAGTTGGTCAGGAGCAAGCTCACAGGGGCATTGCCAGGGCCTTAGGGTGCACAGGGCAGCAGGGTGAAGGCGAGTTGAGCTGGGACAAGGGACTTGGCTGTCCCCAGAGGTGAAGTCAGCACCAAAGGCAGATGATGCTGTGACTGTGAGCGAAGGGAAATGGCTTCTGCCATTGCACTCGCAGCCATGAAGTCCATAATAAAGATTTACTGCAGTATTGGCCCATTGAGAAGTAAATGCGAAGGGGTGATGAATGAGCAGGTTGTGAAAGGACAACCTGTTGAAACAGGATGGTTCCAGTAAGATTAGGGACAGATTACTCCATCCCATCGACAGCATTATCTGCAGCGCTGTTTGCATGGGGCTGTTTACCCACCCGATGGCACAGGGTACAGAGAGGCACATTTCATGTTTGTCATCCTCAGTATCCCTGGTGAGGGGATCAGGCTCCCTCCAGCCTGGCTGTAGCACAGTCCCATGACGAAAGCAGCCGCGTATTTACCGATGGACATGCTGAACACCCGTGCCTCCCACCGGCCTTGCCCCTATCAGATAGGAGACCCTGCAGGGCCCCAGCGCAGGGATGGATGCCTGCTGAGGCGGGCTGACCTGTTGCAGGACGTGTTTATTTCCCTTCTAACCAAAACACAGGCAATGGGGCAGTGTGGCCGGGGGGAAGCAGCCCTGCCCAAGCTCAGTGATGGGTGGGATCCGTACAACGCATAACAGCCCCCGTGGTGGTGTTCCCCAAGGATGGGGCTGCTGAAGGAGGTGTCCGGGGGGGGCTGTTCAAAGCCAGCTCTCTGAGAGCGCTGTCCCCAGCCTGCCTGCGCCTGAGCCCGTTTCACAAGGTACTGAAGGAGGGGATGGGGTGATGTGGAGAGGGTGGAGCCCGCTCAACCCGTTTCACCACTGCAGGCAGGGCAGGATTTCTCCACCGCTGCCTTTGCTGTGTCATGGGTGGCTCAAGAGCACCATGGGTGGCTGCCAAGAGGGGGTGAATCCCTCTGTCGCAGGCAGTAAGGGCTGTGCTGCTGGTGGGGCAGCATGTGGGCTGCAGAGAACAGTCCTGAGCTGCTCTTTGAGGCCTTTCATGTTTCATTTACTGAGCTCTGAAAGGCCTCTTGCCCGGAGGGGAAGAGCACCAAGTGCCCTCACGAGGCTAGGAACGGCATTCAGGAGGCAGGCAGGGTTGTGGGCTGTGCCTGCAGCATGCGGTCTGTGTCATGCTTCTCGCCTGCTCGGCTCACCCTGTACACCTTCACCTTCTGTGTGTGGGCTGGGTGCCCTCTCAGTAAGGACAAGCATGAGGGTCAGCTCTTGCTGCTGCCCTAGAGAGGAGCTGGAAGCCTGTTTGTGCCTTCCCACTGCCCTGAGCCACGCATTGGGCAGGAAGGGCAAGCTTCAGGGATGGTCCTGTGAGAGCTCTGCTGCTCTGCTTGCAGGCCCTCAGGAGTAATTTCTTCTAGCCTGAAAGCATCCTGCCAAACCTGAAGTTAAAAGGGGCTTTTGTTTGGGAATCAGATGCTTGTGTACATCTGCATGTGAAATTACCCTTAAAATGGAGAGGCTGAAATTGCTCTCCAGGTGCTCACTTCTCATCAGCGCTGCACAGAGACCTGCTGCTCTGTCCGCAGGAGCAGGATGCTCTTGCAGGCACAGTCACTTGCAGGAGTGGCAGAGGCACAGTGCCAGCTCCTGCCCCCCTCTGGCTCCCAGTGGGGCAGTGTGTGCTCTGTGGGGCACTTACCTTCAGGTAGAGGATTTTGGGGGGTGGCAGTGCCAGCCCTGACTGCACAGCCTTGGCTTGTGTCAGCCCTGGGGCTCTGCTCATCTTCCCCATTGCAGCTGTGTCCTGCTGCCCTTGGCACCCACCGGTGCTGGGTGCCAGACCTGTGGTCCCTGGGATGAGCTCCCAGGTGACCGGTGTGTTCCAGAAGCTGCTTGCTGGTGGGGTTTGAGCTGAACCTGTGTGTGCTGATGCACGAGCATCGCAGGGGTAGCACCTGTCTGCTGTCCCCAGAACCCCTCTTCTTCCTGCCAGCTCTCCCCAGCAGTGTCCAATGCCTGCAGCTGCATCCTCAAGTAACTCTGCTGGCCCCTCTGCAAAGGAGAGCTAAGCTTTGTCTGGGAAAGCCTTGCTCTGTGGCTGGCAAACAGGTACTTTTCCCTTCTTCCCCTTCCCCACTGTGCCGATGGGGTCAGGATTGCTGGCACCCGGGGTGCTTGCAGGCCCATTGCAGGCAGGGAGCCATTCCCAGTGCTGGGAGCGGGGTCCCCTCCCCAGAGGCACCTCCTCTGAGGCTGTGCAAAGCGACCTTCCCCGAAGGACATCCTCTCTCCTGTGGCTCCACCACATCCAGCTGATAGCCCAGAGCCTTGGCCCAGCAGCTGGGCTGCCCCACTTGCTCTTTCCCCTCCCGAGTGCTCGCTGCGGCTGTTCTGATGACTCCATGGTGTTGCAAGAGCTGAAGCTGCTGGTTAAAGTCCGGGTAAACAGGTTGGAAAGCCCTCGGCAGCGCTGGCGAGGGAAGGGGGGCTGGAAAAAGCTGCTGCTCATGGGCGATGAGGTGGTTTGTTTGCATAGAATAAGGTTTCCACTGGAATAAAGTGGGGTGGGGAGAGGATGTTTGACAGCAGAGCAGGAGCTCTGATGTGCCTCACTTTAAGGAGGGAAGGGGCTGTAGGGTGGGTGTTTTGTGCCACCTTGTCTCTCTGCAGGCAAAGGGAAACAGGATAAGATAGCTCCAACTAATGCAGTGTGTCTGGGGTCCCTGCTCCATGCCCCTTCCTATGGGATTTGGGGCTGGAGCAGCACTGGGGCACATGTCCCCAAGCAAGACGAGGGAGAAGATCCTCCTCTCCCCTGAGCAGACCTGTTCTCCTGCCCTATAGCTCGCTGCAGGGGTGTCGAGCCTGTCCTGGCTGTGCAGTACCAGCGCAGCCTGCGGGCACGGTGCCCTCCCCTCTCCTCTCCCCAGCACACAGTGATGGGGGCAGTCGTGGGGCCAGCATCCAGCCGTGGCTCTGGGATGGAGACACCCTTCCCATCCAGCTCCCTGTGGCAGCCAGCATGAGTGCCCTGTTCCTGCTTCCTTGGCTCAGGCAGCCCCAGTGCACCAGAGGCTGCCAGTTCCCAGGATCAGCATCCTTTGCGGGGCACCTCACAAGCTATGGATGCAGCTTTGCCTGCAGGATGCTGGGCAGAGCCTCTGCCTCCCCTGCACAGACCAAAGTCCTTAATCCCGGTGCTTGCTGAGGCTGTGGGCAAGTTGCAGGAGGTGCAGCATCCCTCCCTGTGCTGTTTGGGGTAGCCGCTGTGCTGGGTGCCCCTGGACTGGTTCTGTCTGGCTCCTGGACGTGCTGGAGGACTGAAAGGGAACGTTTACATGTGTTAAAATGCCCAGCACTTGAGGTCTGCAGCGTGGAGGAAGGGAAGTGGCTTTGGCAGCGCTCAGGGTGTTTGTGTGGCTGTGGTGGCAGCAAGGCTTGGTGGCACTGTGCTGTGTTAGCAGTGCTGAGAGGTGCCAGCTGCTGCTCAGCTTATCGGGGCCTGCTGCACCCAGCCGGAGGATGCTGCTCCTCATCGCACTGCTCAGCAGGGACCTCTGTGGTCCCACAGGAACTCTTTGGCCCCAGTATCTGCCATCTCTGACGGATGTGCCAAGGGCAGGAGAGGGTTGAGGGGACAGCAGGAGTGCTCTGGGGACCCTTGGGGTGCTGGCTGTCATTCACTGGTGCCCCGGGGTGCTGTGGAGGTGTTATGGCCGGCAGTGGTTGCCCATTGCTGCTGGCTCGGGCTGGGCAGCTCCAGCCCCTCCTGGGAACACAGGGGGGAACAAGGAGCCTTTGTCTGCTGCGGCAGAGCCCGGCTGGCCCCACGCCCCGTCCCCAGCGCCCCACGGTGCCGGGATGGTGCCAGGCTGGGCTGGCTGGTCCTGCTCTGGGTGTGGGGACCAGCACTCGGTGCCATGGTGGCCCCATCCCCGTGGGAGGAAGGGGATGCTCTGAGCGTGGGGCTGGGCTTTCCTGTCATCCCACTGTGCTCAGTGCTGGCACGGCTTCTTGGCTGCCTCGGGGAGGATGAGAATGGGACGAGCCTGAGCCCAGCCCCATGCTTCTGGTGCCTGCAGCAAAGTAACCCAGGATAAGGCTGTTTGAAGGTGGGTCCTGCCCAGCTGCTGGAGGGAGTTGTTTGAGGCTGCTTTCCTTTCCCTCCAGAAGGGCCTGGTGCCATGGGGAGTGCCAGCCTGCACAGCAGGGTGTCCCCACACTGTGAGCAGCTTCACCAGTGGCACTCTGTGGGAGGGAGCTGTGGAGGCAGCACCCTGGATTAAGGGTGTCTCTTGTAAATTGGGAGGCCATACAGAAGGAATAAGACCATATGAGAAGCTGCCGTAGCCTAAGGAGCAGGGGCTGCCTGCTGTTGTCCCAGGGAAGAGCCACGGCTCAGCTCCCCCATCCCATGGGCCCTATCAGCATCCCCTCGCAGGGTACTTTGGAGGGTGCTGATAAGCAGAGCTGTGCTCGGCTGTGCTGCACTGGCTTGCACCGGGCTGCAGAGCAGGGGAACCACCACTGCTCCCATGCTTCCTGCTGGCGCCGGCACAAAGAGCTCCCGCTGCTCGGCAGGGCCCGGCTGCGCTTTGATGGAAGGAAGCGGGCTGCGGCGGGTGCTCGGCCGGCCGGGGCTGAGCCCGGGGCCGCAGCGTGCCAAGGGCAGCCCAGGCACCGGCAGCCGGCACATCCCTGCTCCGGGGCAGGAAGGGCTTCAGCGCTGTAATCAGCGCCCAGCAGCTGCCGCTGCGTGAGCCCGGCGCGGCCGGACTGCCTTGATGATAATGGTGCTGCAAATGGGCTCCTGGGGAGCGCTGCTCGGCCCCGTTGGGTTTATAGAGCCCTGTGCTGGCAGCTCCCGTGCAGCGCTCTGCCTTTGAGAGGAGGCAGTGCTGAATCAGCAGCCCTGGGTGCCGCGTTTGGCCCGGTTTTCCCACCCCTTTGGTCGATCCTGTCGCCAGCTCTTGCCATGGTGAGGCACGGTGCCTGTGCGGGGTGCCAGGCTGGCACAGGGCCCTGCTACCCTGTGAGGTTCCCAGGGGTCTGGTGAGGACAGGGACACTGCATCCCAGCCCACACCTGGCTGGTAAGAGGTCTCTGGCTCAGCCATCATGGAACTGGCAGCACTGCACAGTGCTGGACGTACATGGTGCTGCTCCCAGCCTGAGCATCCCCTCCTCTCCCTCCCAGGTGGCCTGGCCGGAGGCATCGAGATCTGCATCACATTCCCTACCGAGTATGTGAAGACGCAGCTGCAGCTGGATGAGAAGGCAAACCCTCCCCGCTACAAGGGCATCGGTGAGTGTGCCAGCCTGCTGGAGCCTGGCTGGAGCTGGGGGATCAGTGGGGTGAGCAGTGGGGCTGGCACAGTGGCCTCGGTACAGTGAGTGATGGCGGTGGCACTGTGCTCTGCTGCAGGGGACTGTGTGAAGCAGACTGTCCGTGACCATGGCATCCGGGGGCTGTACCGGGGGCTCAGCTCCCTGGTGTACGGCTCCATCCCCAAGGCTGCTGTCAGGTAGGTGCCCCCATGACGCGGGGTGAGCTGGGGACCCTGGGCAGCAGCAAACAAGGGGTGGGTTTGCCCTCGGCATCCCCAGTGTCACTCTGCCAAAGGGTGCTTTCCTGGGTGGGAAGGGTGCCCGGCTGCTCCCAGGGGCAGACCCAGAACAGGGGGTGCAGGCCCCTGGCTGGGGGGCCCTGGGGTTGCACAGTGGCTCCTTTGCAGGTTCGGGATGTTCGAGTTCCTCAGTAACCAGATGAGAGACGAGCAGGGGCGGCTGGACAGCACTCGGGGCCTCATCTGCGGGCTGGGCGCTGGAGTGGCCGAGGCCGTGGCCGTTGTTTGCCCCATGGAGACCATAAAGGTGGGTGGGAGCAGCCACCGGTGTCCCCTTGCCCAGCACCGCACCCTGGGCAGGGCTGGGAGGGGATGAGAGCCAAGGATGCTTTCAGGGACCTGAGGATTTGCCCAGGGTGGGTTTGTAGGGGAGGAGCTGATGCTGGAAAGCCCCATGGAGAGGTCGGGTCCAGCAGCCACGGTCCCTTTCCCACTCTGGGGAGGAGCCCCCCACCCAGGAGCCACCCCATCACCCAGTTTAGTACTGTAGAACCCATGTTGGTGCTTTCAGAAGCAGTTTCCCAGGTTTTCCTCTGCAAAATGCCATGGGCACAAGCTCCCCCTGTGGTCTCACCTTGCATTGCTTGGGCATGAGGGTCAGCTCTGATTTTGGGACCATCCCTGGACAGGTGGCCGTTAGCCCTTTGGGGACATTACATCTCCCCATGGCTTGGCCACGACAAGCTCATTGTCTCCCCGCAGGTGAAGTTTATCCATGACCAGTGCTCCCCCAAGCCCAAATACCGTGGCTTCTTCCATGGTGTGCGGGAGATTGTTCGGGAACAGGGTGAGTCCCCAGGGAGAGGCATCCTGACCCCCCGGGTGCTGCCGCACTGCAGGGACGGGGCAGGAGGTGGCACAGGCTGGGACCAGCAGCCTGGGGAGGTTTTTCTCTGCTGATGGGGTTGGTGCTCTCCTCCAACGCCCTCTTGCTGCAGGGCTCAAGGGGACCTACCAAGGCTTAACCGCAACCGTCCTCAAGCAAGGCTCAAACCAGGCCATCCGATTCTTTGTCATGACCTCCCTCAAGAACTGGTACAAAGGTACGGTGTCCCTGTCCCCACAGCCCACCCTGGGATGCTGGCTCCTCCAGCTCATCCTCAGGAGCTAGGCTTGGGCTTCCCATCAGCACACCCTCCGCTTCTCATGGCTCAGCCAGACCCAGAGCCTTCCTTGGGCTCCCTTGGGGATGCCGTGTTTCATCCCCACACCACCGCCCTGTCCTCAACCTCTCCTCCTTCCCAGGGGATGATCCCAACAAGGTCATCAACCCCTTCGTCACGGGGGTGTTTGGAGCCCTTGCCGGAGCCGCAAGTGTCTTTGGCAACACCCCCTTGGATGTGGTAAAGACCAGGATGCAGGTACAGCACCGGGCATGGTGTGGGACCTCTCTGCCTGTGGTGGGATGGGGCCACTGTTGTTTGGGAGCCTCCCAGACACCATCTGCTGGTGTTGTCTGGGAGGTGCCTGGGGATGCTGCCCTCTCATAGGTGGGCTTTGGGATGCTGAAAAGTGTTTGCACAGAGGAGATGGGGATGTCCCTGCTGGGTTTGGTGGCCCACAGTAACAAAGGGCGATCGGTTCCTCTTGGCTCACCCCCAGCTCTGCCCCCCTGTATGAAATCCCCCCCGATGCATTGCTGGCTCCAGGCTCTGACCCTGCTTTTCCCACCCACAGGGGCTGGAAGCGCACAAGTACAAGAGCACCTGGGACTGTGCCTACCAGATCATGAAATACGAAGGGCCCCTTGCGTAAGCACTGCGGGTGGCATGGGGGGAGCTGGGGAGAAGGATGGGCAAGGACAGGGGGTTCTGAGGGCACCGAGCCCCACGGATCCCCCTCTATCCCTGGCAGGTTTTACAAGGGCACGGTGCCTCGCCTGGGCCGCGTCTGCCTCGATGTGGCTATCGTCTTCATCATCTACGACGAGGTGGTCAAGGTCCTCAACAAGGTGTGGAAAACGGACTGAGGGGGCCGGGCCAGGCGGCCCCCACCTCACTCACCCTGTGGGGATGCAGCTGGAGAGCCGTGACCAAGCCCACTGGGGCCAAGTCTGCCCCACACCCGCCTTCCCCCCACACCCGGCCACCTTTATGTTTAGTAACAGGCTCTGGAGCAGGTTAAATTATTAGTTGTGCGCTAAAAGGAGCAGGGAGGGAGCAGCATCTCAGCATCCAGACCCTCAGCATCCCGGTTATGCCCACCCTGAGCCCCTGGTGACACTTCTTCCTGGTCCTGTATCACTTGCAAGCGCCAGTTATCCAGGACAAGGTGTCCCCTGGGACAGTGGCCCAGGCCCCCAGCAGCCAGGAGTTGCCTGTGGGCCAGCTCTTTTTTGGGTGCTGAGAGCTCCCCCAAGCCATGTGGGCACAATGTCCATGCTGTGCAGCAAGCACTGCAGCTGGAGGAGGCTCTTGGGGCTGATGCACCAGCTGGGAGCGATGCGGTGGGTCTCACAGCAGCTCCATGGGGATCCACCAGCCCTGTACACCCCGGTATGGGATGGCAGCGACCTGCTGCTGTGGTCCCAGGCTCCCTCCTCCCTGCCAGCACCAACCCCCTGGGGTGCTGCATCCCAGCCCCGGGTCCTGCTCAGTGCTGGGCTGCCCGCAGTTGCACATACAGCCAGGCCTTTAGTTCTTGCTGCGGGGCCGGGGTGAGCCGGGTGCCCCATCACTTGCCGTTTACAGTCGAGACGCGTGTGCGAGCCGGGGCGAGGAGGCACAGCCCCGTCCCGCAGACTTGGCCCCTCGGCCGGGGTGCAAACCCCTTTTTCTGCCACATTCCCCCCATCTGCCCTCCCGCTGCCTCTCCGCAGCTCCATAGGTAATCCTGTAGCTTTCCGAGCTTCATGCTGACCCACTAACACCTGTGGCCGTGGGGCTGGAGCCCCGCTCTGCCCCATGCTGGGCTTGGCCCCGCCGGATTTGTGCCAAACTTCTCCCAAAGGAGCTGGGGGTGGGCACGGGAGCCGGGGCTCGACCCATCCCTTCTCCCTCCTGTTGCCAGTGATGAGCGCAGCCTTAACACAGGAGGGCAAAGGAGGAGAAGGAAAGCCCGGGCACGGTTTACCTGTGGCTTTCTGCTCTGAAGCCAGTGAGGGTTGCATTGGGTTTGTTTGGTTTTTTTACTGTTATTCTGTTTTACATTCGCAATTTGAATAAAATCAGTCTGGCTTTAGCAGCCCTGTTGGTGTCCAGGCTGTGCTGAGCACCTGCGGCCAGGGCTTGGGGATGGGGCTCCGGGGGGAGCATCGGCTTCAACCTGACAGTGCCCATTCATGGATGCTCCCAGGCAGCTCCAGGCCTGCATGGTCCCGAGCACAGTGTTGTATTCACCATCCTGGTTTACTGCCCTGGCCGCGGAGCGCAGGGCTGGGATGGCAGCGGGCGGTGGAGCAGAAGGGAGCAGGCTTTGTCTCCCGCCCAGCGCAGGGGCGGTGCGCTGGGCTCCCAACGCCACCGGCGCAGCCCTTGCTCCTCACTGGTGCTGGGTAAAGCCGTTGCTGTGTGGCAAAGCCGTCCCTCGGTGCTGCGGGGCGGCCGTGCCATGCGGGGCCTGCTGCTCTGCGGGGGATGGCTGCTGGCCGCCGGCTGCCTGGTGGGGGCCAGCGGCAGCTGCCGGCACCGGTGCTGCCCGGGCAGGAACAACGCGTGCTGGGTGCCCGGTGCCCGCCGGGCTCACTGCTACTGCGACTCGTACTGCCAGAGGACGGGCGACTGCTGCCAGGACTACCACAGCGTGTGCCGCCGCGCCGGTGAGTGGTGGGAGGGGATGGCACCGATTGAACCCCGGGGCTGGGAATGCCAGCCTCGGCTGCTGCTTTTGGTGGCAGATTTTTGCTGTTAGCTGTTAACCCCGTACTTGGAGCATAACAGGATGTGTCTGAGGATCGCGGATGCCAGCTGGGCTGGATTTGGAGCAGTATCCCGATTTTCCGCTTTTTTCCACGCTGGATGAGTGGATGCTCCTAGTGTAATGAGAGCCTGCAGGGTTGGCCTCCGGTCGGCAGCTGATGGTAGTGCTCCTATTGCAAGCCTGAGTTGTCAGTGTGGGACCTGGGCAGGATGAGCCCGAGCATCACCCCTGCCACTATTGCGGGCAATGCCTTGCACCGGAACACGGGAATGGGGGCAATAAACAGGGAGTGTGGGCTTGGGGGTTGCGGAGCCAGCCCGCCCTGGGAACCCGAGCCCGGGGCAGCTCCCACAGCGGCCCCTGCACAATTGCAGCAGTCAGCCCTTCCTAATCTCCGGGGAGATTAGCGGGGTCCCAGCTCAGCGCGATGCAGAGCCGCAGCAGCAGCATGGGGATAACGGCTGCGGAAGCCCAGCACAATGCCACTGTGCTGGAGCCCGAGGACAGGGGCTGCCAGGGCCACGCCGGCCTTTGCCTTCCTCCCATCCTGCCTCTCCCCTGCTCTCCCTCCACCTTCCGTGCCACTGACGCCGTTTCCCTCCGTCCCCCTGCTCTCCGGCAGCTGTGGGCTGTGCGGTGGGGCCCTGGGGGCCGTGGAGCGGGTGCAGCTCCCCGTGCGGGATGGGCAGCAAGGCCCGCAGCCGCCAGGTCACCGTCCCGCCGCGGCACGGAGGGGAGCCCTGTCCTGACCTCAAGCAGCGCCGCGGCTGCCTGGGCGAGCACCCGACCTGCGGCACAGCCAAAGGTAACGCGGGTCCCGCCGGACGCCCGCCTGCCCCCTGCGCGGCTGTGCCCAGCGCTGCCGGCCCCGCTGCCTGTCCCGGGGCACCGTTAACCACCCGTGTGTGTGTCTGTGTGTGTCTGTGTGTCTGTGTGTGTCTGTGTGTGTGTCTGTGTGTGTCTGTGTCCCGGCTGCGCTTCTGCCAGAGGTGGCCAAGATATTACCCGATTCCTTCAGCCAGGACTTCAGGGATCCCTGGCGAAGAGCTGGGATGCTGCTGCTGGAGGAGCCGTCCCGGTAGGTGTGCGGCTGGGGTGTGCACACTGCCCTGCAGCCATGGCACCTTGTAACCCCCAGATCCAAGGGCTCTTTGCACACCGCCCCCAGCCATTACTCTCCTCTCCCACCCCAAACCGTGGCTCCTTTTCACCCTTTTCTTGACCCGTGGCCTGTTTGTACCCCACTAGAGCTAATACTTTTCTTTTCCACCACAGCCCCGTGGCCCCTTTGCACCACCCTACAAAATTAGGGCTGCTTTACACCCCCCTCTTAAAGCTATTACTCCTCCCAAAACCGTAATCCCTTTGTACTCCCCTAAACCTATTACTCCTTTGCCCCCCATAGCCCCTATTCCAACCCTATACAAAGCCATGGCTCCTTTGTACCCCCTCCAAGAGCTGTGTCCCCTTTGCACCCCTCAGGATCACTGCCCTTCCACCTCCCCCACCCTGAAACAACATCCCATTTGCACCCCCCTCTAAATCCATCATCCCTCTGCAAACTGCCCCAGAGCCATTAACCTCACCCCCAAACCCATGGCCATTCATACCTGCCCCATCCATCAAGAGAACACCACAACCTCTGCCCTACCATCCAACCACCATTCCCCCCCTCTTTCTCCTCCCCATTTCCCCCCTCCCCAGCTCTCCCCTCCCCAGCTACTGCGGCTATTTCCGCCTGACACAGGTAGGGCCCCTGTGCCGAGGGCAGGCCTGGAGCCGCCGGCTGCACCCGGACAAGCAAGTGTGTGTGGAGTGCCGGGGGGACACGTCCCAACACCGTCCCCACTGCACCGGGCACGGGCTGCAGGGAGCCAGGTAGGGGGGAAGCCCCTTTGGAGGTGCAGTGCACCCTTCAGGGCTCCTCCAAAGGGAGGAGCATCTCTCCGTGTCCCTAAGGCACCTTCCTTTTATATTCTTAAATATATAAAACTAATATTATAATATGCTACAACATGAGAAGTTAAATCAGTAATTTATAAAAATAAATAATATATGAATAGAATATTTCAGTTGGAAGGGGCCTACAATTATCACCTAGTCCAACTGCCAGTATGTGTTATATGTACACAGTATATAACTATAGATACCCAAGTGTTTATAGCACTCCCCAGCTCTTACCGTCTTTCCCTTCCAGGACTTTTTGGGTGGCTGCCTCTGTGGCAGGGTGTCAGGGCTCGTGGGTGCAGGAGGGGCTGCAGGAGGGTTGTGTCTGCTCCCCACCAGCTCTCATCTTTGTGTAGCACCCCCAGGTGAGCTGCGCTGCTCCACTGCTGCTTGCTGGGGAGGCAGGGAATGAAATGAAAAAGTGGTGTCTCTTGTAATGTCACCCTTCTGCAGGCTTGCTGCTTGCCCTTGGAGCTGACCCCCTGTGCTCTCCATGAAGTATTGTGTTGAAGAATGGGAAGAAACCCTGCTTATAAAGATTAAGGGAGTCGCTGAAGTGTGGTGACTAATGGTGGAAGGACATCACACTGGTGACACGGGAGGACGATGTGATGTCATGCTCAGCTGCGACATCATGCTGTGCAACGAGCTGCTGTTGGATGGAGATCACATCCTTCCTCTGTGTGTTTGGGCTGGCCCCACTGCAGGGAACTGCTGGGTGAGCCGGGAAGGGCGGCTCAGCTGCGTGCTGTGGTTTGCAGAGACAAATTAAACAGAGGTACCCGAAGTCTGCACGTGGGTGATGATGCTGGTGGTGTCCGGGTTCAGCTGGAGGGAGTGGGGCTGAGCTGTGAAGCTGGGCTGTGCTGGTGCCCTCCTCACCCTGCATGACATGACCCTGCTGGTGGGGTGCCCAGCCCAGCATTGGTACCCACAGCTGAGACATTGTGCTGGCAGCCTCACCCCTGCCTGCACCCACAAACCACCCCTGGGTGACTTCACCCCTGCCAGGCTGGGTGCCAGGGGGTCTGTGTACCTGGGGCTTGGGGTTTGAACCCCCCAGCTGTGGTTGGGAGCTGCTGCCTGTTTGCTGCCCCAGGATGCACCCAGCTCCTGCCGCCTCCCCCTCTCCCCCTGCCCCTCTGGAGCAAGGAAACCACAAGGCTTCAATGGGGATGATGCTCTTGGCCTCTTTATTTGGGATAAAAGCCCACGTTGACCATGAGCTAAACCACTGGTTAAAAAAACACGTGCTGGGAGTCGAGCAGCACAAGATGGGGCAAAGCTCCAGGGAGCATGTCCCCTCCTCCCAGCCAGACCTGAGGGCAGGAATGCCGCAAGCAAGAGCATAGGCACAGGCCAAGGCGACGCTGCACCGGTGTCCTTGGGGTGGAGAATTAGAAAACACTGGGACCAAAGTGAGTGTGTCCCGCACAGGGAGTGGGGTTCCCCTGAGTTACACCATCGAACCTGCGGTCCTGGCTGGTGGCCATAGACAGCATCCAGCAAACGGAGGGACGTGGCTGTGGGGCTCGGTGTGATGCTGCTCTGTGCCTGCAGCTGTCAGGCAGCCCCAGATGGTGGTCCCGGCTCCCCCAGCGCATTGTCCTGGCTGGGCACAGGGGCCAGCCCGTGCTGCACCAGCAGCCCCTGCACCAGCTCCAGCTCCTGCTCCAGCTCCTGGGTGCCACAGCCCAGCCCTGGCACGGTGGCAGCATCTTCCCCCAGTACCTGCAGCGCCTGTGCCACCAGCCGGGCCCTCACCAGCAGCACGGCCACAGCTGTGTGCAGCTTGGCACAGCCCAGAGCCTTCATCCCACAGCAGACAGCGGCTTCTGCGGAGAGAGCAGGCAAAGGAGCCATGAGCATGGCAGAGCTGGCCTGGGGACAAGGACACCAGCTTGCCTGCCCCAAGGCTGCAGGCTGTGCCGTACCTTGGCCCCAGTGCTGCTTGCAGTACTGCAGGTCGTGCAGGACACCAGGGCCTGTGGCTGTCAACCAGTGCAGGGCCGAGGCACGGAGTGCAGTGCTGGTGGATGCCTTCTCCAGGAGCTGCAGCAGGATGGGGAGCAGCTGCCGTGCCAGGACAGCTGGCTCCGCAAAAACATTGGGTTCATCCTCTTTGTACAGGCTGATGGCTCTAGGGGAGAAAGATGAGGTACAAGTGAAGCCAAAGGCCAGCCCCATGGTACCCTGTGCTCCCCAGTACCTACCCACAGGTCCGGCAACTCACTTGTTGGCCTCCAGCTCCTTCACGATGCCCCTGAGATCTAGGACAGGGAGGTGCTGCAGCAGCATGTCAAAGGTTTCAGGCTGCTCCCCAAACTCTGCCAGGAGGAGCTGCAGGAGGCCCTGCAGCCCCATGTTGTCCTGAA